AAGAGGAAGGCGTTGGGGACGGCGAGAAGGGTGAGGGACGAACGGCCGATTAGGTCACCGGTGACGGAGCTTGATATAAGAAGCTTGGCGAAGGAGGAGATATCGGGGTGGCCGGCGAGGACTGCGGCGATGTTGAAGGCGGAAGCCACCGGACGTGCGGCGGAGGGGAAGAGAAGGGAAATAAGGAGGACAATAGGGGTAAAATGGGGAGTACATAAAAGCGAGCGTGCCATGGTTGGTTTCTCCATTGATCTGCACAGAAGGGTTGAGAGAGAAAAAGGGGCGGTTGCCAGTTCAGAAAGGTGGGAGCTGAGAGAGCTGAGAGTGGAAAGATGCGGGAGGGAGATGGTGGTGGAGAATATTATCTTCTTCTGCTTTTATTTTATTTTATTAAAATAATAATGTTTCAGTGGGGAGTGAAGTTACCGGGAGTGAGGCCACCGCCGGGCTATGGCTGCTGCTGCATTGAAATTGATGGTGCGAGGTGACGGTCAGCGGAGCCCACGTGGGATGGTAACCGGAGGCTGCGTTAATGAACGGTTGCTTCTCGTGAGGTGTCCGTACCTCTGAACGGAAGGGGGCTGAGAATTGGTACGAGAGATAGAACAGCAAACAGGAAATTTATGGTCGGAAAAACCTTCCAAACTTGATCAGAGTTTTGCTTTACCATCATTTTTTAACCGGAGTAGGAGTCAGCGGGCGTTCAGACATTCTAGTGTTATAAGGCTGCAGGGTTTAACCTAATTAAATTAATATACTATAAAATCATGAGTAAAGAGGTCCATTTTTCCTCTAGAGACATGATTTTGAAATCATATCCCCATAGATAGAACTGTTAAAAATAATTGAGATAATAATTGTTGTAGTCTAAAAATAATAGTTTTGGTGGGGCTATAACAGTCGTAGTTAGCTTTAGAAGCCGTAGTTGATTATGAAGGTAGTAGTTGAATGTTATGAAGGCCGTAGTTGATGATTGGTAAATTTGGTCAATCTCTCAAAACGCTTAATCAGACGGTCTATATTGATTTCACTATTCACAGGTAAATTTTTTTACAATTTAAGTATCTTAATGACATCAAAATTGAAAGATCTTAAGCTCTTGGGGTTACTGTTGTCGAAACACTCGATTTGAACATATGCATGCCAAATTTTAAGATCATTTTACCTTCTGATTGATGCATCAAAGCCTTTGACAACATTTCAAGTATTTGATCTGAACTTATCTAGATTTAAATTGGATCACTCTCAACATCATGAAGTTTGACTTGTCACTCTGTTTGATTATAAATTTATTGAAATTGGGATCTAGATGATCTTGAATTTGAATTCAGAATGTTTTTTGCTTAAAATGTTTTGAGATTCATCCTTTACAGTAAATATTATTGATGACACACCAATTGTCCCTATTTGTATATCGATGATTCTGTTGTTAAAAAATATAACTCATTGGATGAGTATTCATCATAATTTTAGATATTCTAGAAATTCAAAATTTTAATCAAACATGAATGAGACATGAATTCAAACACAATTAAAAATGTGTAGATACATTCATGCCTATCTGACCACTCATTTCAATCTGATACAATCATCAAAACTAGTGTGTTCGAATCACAAACCTGAGTTAGTAGTATCATATTAAGCACCTCCTCACCAAAAGTCTTTGCAGGAACAGAAACCATCCTTGAAACAATGAAAACGACTCCGATCTCTCACAACAATCTCTCTGTGGTAAACCTTAGATATGAACTTGGTTGCAGAATGGCAATCTCCACAGACCCTCAAGTTCTTCACAATCCTGATTCTTGTTCCAGGAGGAGTTCTGAGCAAAGCAAAAGCTATGGCCAGTTTCTCACTATGCCAGTGCAACGCATCCTCCTTATCTTCTTCATGGATGTCCAGCAACATCTCCGATGTGGCGGCCATGAACCCCGCCCCCATCAGCTTCTTAGAAATCTCTTCTACCATCTCATAGATCTCCTGGTAGTGTGAAAGCTTCTCCCCTCCTGCAACAAACTCATAAATCTCCCCATTCAGCTCAAATGAACTGAATCCTGGAGCCTTGCGCATTCCTTGCTGGTCCATGGACTTTCTGATGTCCCACTTCTTCTCCCACCTCTTGTTTAAAGCATAGAAATTTGATAGCAGGACATAGTTGGAGCCATATAATGGCTCCTGGTTGATCAATTGCTTTGTGATCCTCTCCCCTAGCTCGAGTTTTCCATGAACTCTGCAAGCTGCAATGAGAGTCCTCCAAATAACAGGGTTTGGCTTGATGGGCATTGCTCCCACAAACTCCATTGCTTCTTCCACCATCCCTGCTCGACTGAACAAGTCCACCATGCAACCATAATGCTCAATTCTCGGCTGGACCCCAAAGTCCCTGCTCATTGAATCAAAGTAGTAACGGCCATCACTGACCAGGCCGCCATGGCTGCAAGCTTTGAGCACGCCGATAAATGCAACAGCATCCGGCTCAAAATCGGCGTTTTTCATGGCCTCGAATGCCCGCACAGCTTCGACCCCACGGCCGTGCATCGCTAGTCCGTGGATCACCGAAGTCCACGATACAATGTTCTTCTCGGGCATTCTGTCGAACAGCTGCACGGCGCCGTCGACGTCCCCGCACTTGGCAAGTGCGTCCACCAATGCGTTGCAGAGAAATAAGGTTTTGGGCATCTTCATCCTTTCCACGTAGAATTTAATCCAATGCGTGAGGTCGAGCGCTCCGAGGTCGACGCATGCCGAGAGGACGGTCATGATGGTGACATCATCTGGCGGGATGTTGGTCAGCTGCATCTGGCGAAAGAGCGCCACGGCTTCATTTGAGCGACCAGAGAGGATGTAGCCGCCGATCATGGCGCTGAAGGTGACGGGACATGGTTTAGGCATTTCGTCAAAAACCTTTCGGGCAGACTCGAGGGCGGCTACGCAGCGTACCGCGGCGTAGGCGTGGATGAGGGTGTTGTGGACGAAGGAGTCGCCGGCGAGGCCGAAGCGGAGGGCGGAAGCATGGGCTTGGGAAGCGGCGGGGAGCGGAGAGGGGAGGGAGGCAATGGCTTTGAGGAGGAAGGGGAAGGTGAAGTGATTGGGAGGGAGGTGGAGGCGAAGCATTAGGGAGAAGATGGGGAGGGGATGGAGAGGGGAAGGGGAAAGAGACTGGAGGGCGGTGTTGAAGAGAAAGGAGTCGTGGAGGGGGAGTGGGGAATGGGAAG